GCCTGGTTCGTCTCTTGTACTAACCCTTGGTGGTAGGGAGTGGGCTGGAGAGGCCTTTCCTTTAGTCAAGGGCTTATGTGTGAGAGAGAAAGCCCAAGGTTTTCTTTTGATTGGTGGCAGATTTTGATTGATTGGTGTTGTCACGTTTTGTGTGCAGCTAGATCGCTTTATCAAACAGCAACATGCATAGTCTGAGCTTCCTGTACCTGCGAGCTCTGGATGTAAGGCTGTGGCAATGGACACACTTCTGGGGGACATGTGCCTCCGACACACAACACATCGGTAGCTACACGTACGGCAGCCTTAGTCTCTGAAATTTTTCAAGGATAATTAGTTTTATCTCTCTCTCTATCTTGTTTCTTAAAAGAAGTACAGGTCTGAGGGCCATGTCCCTCAAGACTAGCGGCGCATTGCACCTTAACTATTTACAAGAATTAAAGAGAATATTTAAAAAATTAACTATTACTAACTATAAAAGCAACAAAGAATTAAAAGTTTAAACTACAATTCAATTCCTATCTGCAGGAAGCTGAAGAGGAGGAGGAGGAGGAGAAGGATCCAGCTCCATCTGCGACTGAGGGTGGTCAAGAAGGAACTGAGGGGAGTTCAAACTTCAAAGGCATGAACAGCATGAGTCACACTCACGCATGTGCAGACTGACTAGACACTGCTAGAAAAAGTACAGTGTGGAACGAGCCCAACACCAACAGTGAAGCACAGGGACATCACTCGAAGAACAATTTCACACATACAGAACGGAAAGCAACTGTCTAGGAACAAGTATTGCAGAAAGGGATCTAGTGGTCATAGTGGACCACAAGCTAAATATGAGTCAACAGTGTGGCACTGTTTCAAAAAAAGCAAACGTGGTTCTGGGACGCATTAACAGGGAGTGTTGTGAGCAAGATACGAGAAGTCGTTCTTCCGCTCTACTCTTTGCTGATTAGGCCTCAGTTGGAATATTGTGTCCAGTTCTGGGCACCACATTTCAAGAAAAATTGGAGAAGGTCCAGAGAAGAGGACCCCTGATTCGAACGGAGAGGGTAGGATGATCAACTGGTTTTCTAAGGTGTTTGTACACCAATGTGAGAAGCCTGGGTAACCAACAGGAAGCACTGAGCTCCTGGCCCCATCCAAGAACTACGATTTGATTGGGATAACAGAGAATTGGTGGGATGTCTGGCATGACTGGAGCACTGTCATGGAAGGGTATAAACTGCTCAGGAAGAACAGGCAGGGGAGAAAAGAAGGAGGAGTTGCACTACATGTAAGAGACCACTATGATTGCTCAGAACTCCAGTATATAGAGGGAGATAAGCCTGTTGAGAGTCTATGGGCCAAGTTTAGAGATGTAAGCAACAGCAGTGATGTTGTGGTTGGTGTCTGCTACAGGCCACCGAAATAGGTAGATGAGGTAGATGAGGCTTTCTTCGGACAACTGAGAGAAGCTTCCAAATCGCAGGCCGTGATTCTCATAGGCGACTTTAATCACCTTGACATGTGTTGGGAAGCCAATACAGCAGTACAGAGGCAATCCTGTAAGTTTTTGGCAAATGTTGGGGATAACTTCTTGGTACATGTGCTGAAGGATCTGACCAGGGGCCATGCACAGCATGACCTGCTGCTCACAAACACAGAGGAACTAATAGGGGAAGTAGAGGAGGGTGACAACCTGAGAAGCAGTGATCGTGAGATAGAAGATTTCAGGATCCTGACCAAAGGAAGAAAAGAGAGTAGTAAAATATACACCTTGGAGTTCAGAAAAGCAGACTTCGACTCCCTCAAAGACATGAAGGGCAGAATCCCCTGGGATGCTAACATGAAGGGGAAAGGAGCCTAGGAGAGCTGACAGTATTTTAAAGAAGCCTTACTGAAGGCATAGAAAGAAACCATTCCAATGCGTAGCAAGAGAAACGAATATGGTAGGAGCGAGTGGATTGGCTTACAGGGGAAATCCTTGGTGAACTTAAGCATAAAAAGGGAGCTTACAAAAAGTGGAAACTTGGACAGGGGTATAAATGTATAGCTCGAGAATGCATGGGAGTTATCAGGAAGGCAAAAGTGCAATTGGAATTGTGACTCGGAAGGGATGTGAAGGTGAGAGGATTATTCTGAGAGAGGTGGGCGAGATTCTGTGGCCTGCGCTGTGCAGGGGGTCAGACTAGATGATCATAATGGTCCCTTCTGACCTTAAAGTCTATAAGTCTATAACAAGAAAGGTTTCTACAGGCATGTTAGCAAGAAGAAGGTGATCAGACAGGGTGTGGGGGAGAAGGTGTGAGGCCCCTACTGGATGAGGGCGGTAACCTATTGACAGATGATGTGGGGAAAGCTGAAGTACTTACTGCTTTTTTGCCTCAGTCTTCATAAACAAGGTCAGTTCCCAGACAAAGGTGCTAAGTGACGCAAGATGGGACAAGGGTGGACAGCCCTTGGGGGTTCATAAATCCATGGGTCCGGACTTAATACATCCATGGGTACTGAGGGAGCTGGCAAATGTCATTTGGCCATTATTATTGAAAAGTCGTGAAGATCGGGAGAGATTCTGGATGATTGGAAAAAGGCAAATGTAGTGCCCATCTTTATGAAAGGGAAGAAGGATGATCCAGGGAACTATAGGCTGGTCAGTCTTACCTCAGTCCCGGGAAAAATCATGGAGGGGATCCTCAAGGAATCCATTTAGAAGCACTTGTAAGAGGAGAAGGTGATCAGGAATAGTCAGCATGGATTCATGAAGGACATATCGTGCCTGACCAATCTGATTAGCTTCTATGATGAGGTAAGTGGCTCTGTGGATATGGGAAAGTCAGTGGATGTGATATACCTTGACTTTAGCAAGACTTCTGATACGGTCTCCCACAATATTCTTGCCAGCAAGTTAAGGGAATGTGGATTGGATAAATGGACGGTAAGATGGATAGAAAGCTGGCTGGAAGGTCGGGCCCAGTAGGTAGTGATCAATGGCTCGATATCAGGATGACGGTCGGTTTCTAGCGGAGTGACCCAAGGTTCGGTTCTGGGACCGGTTTTGTTCAACAACTTTATTAATGACCTGGATGAGGGGATGGATTGCACCCTCAGCAAGTTTGCGGATGACACTAAACTAGGGGGAGAGGTAGATACGCTGGGATAGACTCTAGAGTGACTTAGACAAATTGGCGGATTGGCCCAAAAGAAATCTGATGAGGTTCAACAAGGACAAGTGTAGAGTCCTACACTTAGGATGCAAGAATCCGTTACAGGCTGGGGACTGAATGGCTATGTAGCAGTTCTGCAGAAAAGGACTTGGGGATTACAGTGGATGAGAAGCTGGATATGAGTCAACAGTGTGCCATTGGAGCCAAGAAGGCTAATGGCATATTAGGTTGCATTAAGAGGAGCATTGCCAATAGATCCACACATGTGATCCACACAAGTGCAGCAAGGGAGGTTTAGGTTGGATACTAGGAAACATTTCCTAACTGTCAGGGTGGTTAAACACTGGAATAAATTGTTTAGGGAGGATGTGGAATCTCCATCACAGGAGAGATTTAAGGACAGGTTGGAGAGACATCTATCAGGAATGATCTAAATGGTGCTTGGTCCTGCTGTGAGGTCAGGGAACTGGACTTGATCTCTCGAGGTCCCTTCCAGTTCTAGTATTCTATTATTTGCATATTTCCCCCCCCCACTGATATTATTAAACTGACACGCATATAAAACAAGTGAGGTGTGTATTGATTACACACAACATTGACTGTGAGAGCTGAGAGTTCCCTCTGCATTCAATCAAAGCACTGCTATGGATCAAACAGCACATCTCACAAATTCTGGGTATGCAAGCACAGTCAGCAAAAATACCCTGTCGTGGGAAACTGCCTTGGTTATGGCAATCTTTTGGCTCACTGAAATGAAGAAGAACCACTCGTTAGCTTAGGTTGTCCTTCACTGATCCAGACACAATTCAGAGCTCATCCTGACGGCTTTATGTAGGTAGGCAGGCATAAAAAACAATTTTTATATTTCTCTGAACATAACTTATTCCTGTCCACAGTTACTATAATCTTATCACTGTTGACATGGCTGGCCTAATGAACATTTTTTATTTTGATTAAGGTAGGTGACATTTTTTTAAAGTTAATTAAATTTGGAAGTACCTCATTTAATATAAATAGAGTGGGGGAGATTTTGGGGCCCCAGTTTCTCCAAGAGAGATTAAACTCAGCTATTTGTATTTGGTTAATGTGCAGTTAACAGAGTTAAAAGTGAGCTGAGCCTCTGTAGGGATTTTTGTACAATATGGTGACATTTAGCACTCACATAATACTTTAATATAAAAAATGAATTTTTCAATTTTGTAGGGCAGGTAATGAATCCCTTTTTTACAAATAGAAAAATTGAAGAATAAAGGTTAAATGATTTCACTAAGATATAAGAGTAGGAGTTACAGCTAAGATTAAAATACAGAGGTTAATTTATCTCAGTGCTTATCTTAGTTTATTAGACTAGCTTGCTGGACATGTTACTGAGCAGATGGTGACCAGGTATACTTTTGCTCACTGCTCAATGTGTTAGCTCTACTGAAGGCAACAATGTGGGGGAAAGCTGGTGCGGATTCAAAAACAAGCAAGCAATCTTAGCTGAACATGGATTTTCTGCTTCTGAGGTCAAACACAAAAAGCATGACTTACTGGCACACTTGAGTTGCCAGATGGAGAGAACTACACCTACAGGACCTGGTGAATAACCTGATAAAGCCCTGATTCTTCTTTATCACCTCATTTTATTTATTAGTACATACATGCTCGAAGATAAGACCTATATAAGGACAAAGAAGAAAACAACTGGAGACTGAACTCTTAAAAGAATGTCAAGTATGTGCTGCAGAATTAGAAGGATAAAAATGCAATAATCAGTCTTGTAAATCATCAAAAATTACATGTTGATATAAAACAACAATGAATCAGAGAACGAAACATACAACATTATACTGGAGAGAGAGGATAGTAAGTGTTACTCACAGAATTTCTCCTGCAGGAGGTTTGTGTAAATTTGTCAGCATACGTGTACGTCATCCCTTTATGGTTTTGGCCGTCTATGTGGCAGTTACACCTACTGGCCTTAGCCCCCCATCAAAGAAAAGAAAACAATAAATGTATTACATTCTTTAAATGAAACAAAGTGAATGATATTTGGTAATAAAACTCAAGTTTAATGTTCAACCATTGGCTATGTCTAGACTGGCATGATTTTCCGCAAATGCTTTTAACGGAAAAGTTTTTCCGTTAAAAGCACTTGCAGAAAAGAGCGTCTAGATTGGCACGGACACTTTTGCACAAAAGCACTTTTTGCGGAACAGTGTCCTTGCCAATCTAGATGCGGTTTTGCGCAAGAAAGCCCCAATCGCCATTTTCGCCATCGGGGCTTTTGTGTGACAACTGGGAACCGTTCGCCATCGGGGCTTTTGTGTGCAAAACGGTTCCCAGTTGTCTACACTGGCCCTCTTGTGCAAAAGCATTTGCGCAAGAGGGCTTTTTCCCGAGCGGGAGAGTCATTGTATTTGCGCAAGAACACTGATGATCATACATTAGATTGTCAGTGTTCTTGCGCAAATTCAAGTGGCCAGTGTAGACAGCTGGCAAGTTTTTCCGCAAAAGCATTTGCTTTTGCGGAAAAACTTGCCAGTCTAGATGCAGCCACTGTGTGTAATATTGCCACATGGTATATCTCTCCAATTAACTTGCTATAAAATTGTTTCTATCTTCTTTTAAAGGAGAAATTTTCTTCAAAATGACAGGTTCTTAATGCCCTCAAAATTGAGATAAAACTGGTACTAAGCTTAAGGTCAAATACCTTGAAATCCTAAGTTGCTAGAAACAGGTCCTTTTTGCCATCAGAAAGAGCCTATGTAGCCCTGTGATGTTTCATGATATCAAATCTCAAAATTGTAAAATCTATTTATTCAAAAACTAGCCAATTAGCCAGTCATAAGACGGGATTTTCAGGTCTTCTTTCCTAAGTGCTCTCGCTCTGTCTCTCTCTCTCCTCCTCCTGCTTCCCCCTCCTCTCTCTCTCAGCTCTCCTCCATCTCTTGCCCCTCTCTCCATCTCTTTCTCTCTTCTCCCCCTCCTGCCTCTTACTCTCCCTTTCTCTTCTCTTTCTCCTCCTGCCTCTCTCCCCCCTCCTTCTCTCCCTGCCCCCCTTCTCCTTCCCTTCCACCTTGGCGCTTGGCTGAGTGCTGCCTGCTCAGCCGGGCTGCCGCGAGGGAAGGGGGTGGGGCGGTGACATACACAGCCAGGGGGCGGAGCTGTGTACATCATGATCCTCTCTTCCCCTCCCACCCCAGGGGAGCCTAAACAGCCCCTTGCACTGCTGGCTCCCCTGGCGGCCCGGCTGAGGGGGCACAGCACTCAGCTGAGTGCCACAGCGGGAGGGGAACAGGGCAGTGATGTACCCGGCCCCGCCCCCTAGCCGTGTACGTCACCATCCCCCCACTCTCTCCCATGGCTGCCCAGCTGAGGGGAGCCCCACTCAGCACCACGGCGGGAGGAGGAAGGGGGGGCGGTGATGTACATGGCCCCACCCTCTGGCTGTGTACATCACTGCCCTGCCCCCCTTCCTGTCCCACCGGGGCTCAGCTGAGCGGCGCAGCGCCAATGCCAGTCAGCTGGGCCGCGGCCAGGGAGCAAGCAGTGGCAAGCGGCCGTTTGGGGTCCAGCTGCGGCCAGTGGCTGCACCCTCCCTCCTCGCCAGGTCTGCTTTCCGCCCCACAGCCCCCGATCCCCTCCCAGCTCTGCTTCCCATCCCCTCTTCCTGCCAGCCAGCCCCACGGCCCCCCAGACACTCCCCTCCCCCCGTGC